TAGTGATTTCAGCAGGAGAGTACGCAGAGGAAGTTCAGACCTCCCCTGCTCACTTAAGGGCAGCCTGAGCCCTTTTCAACTATGACACTAATGGAAAGAAAGGAACAAGTAAACTTACTTGAACAAGACATGATGACAGCTTTCTGGGATGGTAAAAGTCCAAGGATCAAAATAAAAAATGGTAACAGTATGTTATGACCAAAGACTAAAATTCATTCACATTTGCAGTAATAAGAATAATAAAGTAATCGAGTGAATGGGGAAAAAAAATACACCTTTTCCCTAAAATAGAATTCCAGTTAGTAAATACAGAAGGAAAGACAGAAATAGGAAATCACCAGTGTGTAGACATCTTTAATAACCACTGCACCTGTTAAATCTTTGAATAACAGATTGAGGAAGAACTGAATTTTCATACTTTCTAATTATCTTCCCCCAAATATTTATTCCCTACAAAAGGTAAGACGCTAACTTCATGGTAGAAGGCCAGAAAGAATAGCTTAGTGGCCAAGTACTGCATCCTCAGTCAGAGAACATTATTCACATCCTGAAATATATTCTATGGATCAACTAAAGCAGGCACAATACACTGGTGTTCTTGCCAATAATTCTCTCTGATCAAGAGAAAGCCAACCACAGGCCCCCGGCAAAGGACATTCGACAAACAACTGCTCTTTATCCTGTTGTGTCTGTGATGATTAATGTTGTTGACTGTCGACTTGACAGGCATCCCTGGGAGAAATTATCTAGATTACATTAACTGGTGTCTTAGTTAGGGTTTCCATAGCTGGGAAGAGACACCATGACCAAGGCAACTCTTATAAAGGACAACATGTAATTGGAGCTGGCTTACAGTGTCTGAGGTTTAGCCCATTATCGTCAAGGCGGGAAGCATAGCAGCACACAGACTGACACAGTGCTGGAGGGGAGCCAAGAATTCTACATCTTGATCCAGGGGCAGCCAGGAGGAGACTCTCATTCCACGCTGGCCGAGGTGTGAGCATAGGAAATACCTCAATGCCCACTCCCACGGTGACACACTTCCTCCAACGAGGCCACACCTACTCCAATAAAGCCACATCTCCTAACAGAGCCATGCCTTCAAACACAAGAGTCTACAGGGGGCGGGGGGGGGGGGGCAAACCTATTCAAACCAACACAACTGGGGTAGGAAAACCAACCCTGAATGTAGGCTGGAATCCTGGGCTGAATGAAAAGGAGAGAGTAGGCTGAGCACCCTCATTTACCTCCGTTCTGCTTCTGAATGCCTCAAGCCCCTGGCCATCTTGACTTTCTCGAGTGGTAGACTGTCTCCTCAAACCGAGTTAAAACAAACCTTTCCTTGGGTTGCTTCTGCATTTTGTCACAGCACCTAGACAAGTAATTAATGCAGTGTTCGGATCATGGAGGGTAAGAAAAGATGCATGGACAAGTTTAGGATACAGGAGACTAAAGAAAAACGAAAGCTAAATGCATCCTGGGATCTTGAATTGGAGTGTAAAAAGGGTCGTCACCATGAAAATCACCGGAATGTAAATAAGATCATTATCCTAATAACACTTACCAATATCAGTCTTCCATTTATGACAGTTGAATGATAATTGTCTAAGATGCTAGTATTAGCAGACACTGAGCACAAGGCATATGAAAACTTTTTTTTTTGCAACTTTTAAGTCTCAAGTTAGTTTAAAATTTCAAGAATGTGAGTTAAGATTGTTTCACTCCTCTGCTACAGCAGTCCCAGAGAGTAACCGAAGTGAAGAACTCTGAAATATTACACACAGAACCCACAGGTACCACTGAAAACCCTGATGATTTTTCTATGTGTTGTGTTTGATCCTAGATGGGAACTAGGTTGCCTAAGTTCTGTAAACACAAGGGGTCAAAGGATCAGATTTTTATGTTAAATATGTTAATACCATGAATTGTCACCACTGCTGTTTACAGAGTAATTCCAACGCCGAGGGCACTGTGTCACGTGACACAAGGTGCGGTTAGACTGTGCTGGGTCTGCAATCACCTGGCAGGCAGTGATACCCGTAGGTGAACAAGCTGCGCTTCAGGCTTCTCTGCAGTGACAGAGGATGAGCATAAAACATGGCGTCAGTCAATTCTCTCACCATGAGAGCTTTCTCTCTTCACACAGAAGTTACTGTTAGGACCAAGCTAGGCATGCTTTATGATGACTTAATGAGCCCGGGAATTGAGTGACACACTCAGTCCAGGTCACATAGCTAGAGAATGATAACAGGCAAGATTTGAACCCAGGTTTGCGGATCTAATGACCATTATTTATAACCATTATGCCATGCTTTTCTATGATGTTAAAGGAGAAAAAAAAAAAAAAAGGCTAAATCCCAAGCTTCTGTTTACTTTTGAAAAGAGGTGAGTAGATAATTGCCAAGGAAATGTTCCTGGGCCTGGAGAGGTGGCTTAATGGTTAAGTGCACTCGTCGCTCTTCCAGAAGTCTGAGGTTCGGTTCCCAGCACCCACCTCGGGCAGCTCTCGGTTCAAGGGGAGACACCTCCTTCTGGCCTCAGGACATTGTTCATGACATGTACACACACGTGTGTAAACAAAATGGGCTCCAAAAAAAGAAGAAATAAAAATGTTCGCTTTGCTGGAAATCTGGAAATTTCGCTCAGACTTGAAGAATGGTTTTAAAACCTCATTAGAGGGCTCGCAAGATGGCTTAGTGAGTAACAGAGCTGCCAACCTTGACCACCCCAATTCAGTTCTTGGAAGCCACATGGTGGAAGGAGAGAAATTAGTCCCACGAGTTGTTCTCTGACCTCTACTGTTCTGGCACACACACACACACACACACACACACACACCACATAGATAGATAGATAGATAGATAGATAGATAGATAGATAGATAGATAGATAGATAGATAGATAGATAGATAGATAGATAAATGAGTGAATAAGGTGAGTTATTCTCTGACCTCCACACTCCTGTTTGGCACACGCGCACACGCACGCACACACGCGCACACACACACACACACAGAGAGATAAATAAATAAACACAAACATGCATACCTACATACATTTTAATAGTTTAAATCTCATTAGAAATCGCTCTGCTGCCCATGTATTCTGCAATCCCCTCCTAGCATGCCGCCTTCCCCTAGCGAAGGAGGAAGGCTATACATTTCTCTCTCACCTCCAGAAGAGCAACTGTATTTTCCAGTTGCACCGCGGTCTTCTCGTCCCTGGTTCTTCCCTGATACTCAGGGTACCTGCAGGCTTGCAAAGATTCACAACCAGCCTGAGAGGGAAACCGTTGCCTGGTTTAACGCCGTTGCACAGCCTCTATACCCTGACACCAATGAGCCATGGGAAGGGACTAGGGCAGAGTGACAATATTTAGAAGGCAGCATCAACCACTGGACAGCCTTTGATCCTAAGCACTTTAAAACGGCACCACGGGAGCTGTCATGGTGAGAGAATTCACCGACGCCATGTTGTATGCTCATCCTCTGTCGCTGCAAAGCCTGAAGCGCAGCTTGTTCACCTACCGGTATCACTGCCTGCCAGGTGATTGCAGACCCAACACAGTCTAACCGCACCTTGTGTCCTACTCTTGTTTAGGGAGACAAGGACAGGCAAGAGCAATGCACTCACGTTCCTCTCTGGTTCCCTTTCCTCTAGACCTAGGAGAATGGTCAGCAGGCTGGGAGGAAACAGCGGGGATTTATCACAGGACGGGCTTATGTGGGGAGACCCTGAGGAGGGGCCAGGAAGCAGAGCTTTGCCCTGAGTGAAGGTGGCTGACAAGCAGCGCTGGTTGTAGCTGGAGTTTCTTAGTGGATCTTATGGGAGGAAGAAGGAAGGAGGATGAAGACGTGATTAGGAAGAAGCAGCAGTCACTTATGCTGGTAGTGTGTGTGTGCGTGTGTGTGTGCATGTGTGTGTGTTTCAGACAATGTTCACACTTGCCACTGTTCACTCATGGTCGTAGAATGGCCTTGCTTGTGTCTTGATCCCTCCTGATTGCAAAATGTAAGATGGTTTATGTTCGGTAGACTAGCAGGCCCAGCTATGTCCAGCCAGCTCCTGGCACCATCACGGCCTTAACAGTGTTAGTCTAATTCCCAGCTGACTGGGGCTTCCTTTCTCTCATGACTCACCGAGAAAAGCCCCTCAGTTGGGCCTCTGAGGGGAGGAAGAACCTATGATGTGAGAGGCCATGGACACTGGTGCTCACCTCTTGCCCCTCTCTTCTCTACTCAGGCTAAGCTCTCTCTCTCTCTCTCTCTCACTCTCCTGTCTCACATACCCTTCTTCCTTAATTAAAACACAACAACAACAAAATTCTAGTCCAGACTAAGATTATTAGTCCATTTCCTCCTAATTCTTCCATAAAATCAAATGTCTTTACTTTTCAAAGTCATGTCACGAAGTGTTCACTAGGCGTCTGGACGAAGCCCTGTTTCCTTCTGTTACCTAGAAAGCCCCCACGAGATCCTACAAGCTTGGCCTTAGCTCGTGTCGCTGGACCTTTCGCAGCCTCCCCTATCCCTGGTTCCAGCCATGAGCCAAGCACAGGAAGCCGGCCGCAGTCACCCCTCCAACCTTGACCTCCCTCTAGTACCCACTTCTCCTCTCTCCCCCCCTCCAGGGTAAACATAGGGCTATTTACATATACATAAACCTGCTAAGTCCATTTGGTGCTGTTCGTTCGTGTGTACTTGTGTTTAGAGTTAGCCATTAGGGATTGGATAACCTATCGGGAAGCTCATGCCTAGAGATGATTCTCCCTTCCCGTGGCCATAGCTGCCTGCAGTGGCCTTGGCTTGTGAACTCTTTAAGGGGGGAAAAAAAGGCACTATAGAACTGAACACACAGTAGGTGCTCAATACAGACCTGTTGATGGACATGAGGCTTTCACCTGGAGTTAGCACGTTGATATGTATTCTGGGAGAGGAGGGGGTGAAGCCGAGCATGCATTTCTTCCCAGCGTGCATACCTACCTCTCCAGTGTATTAAGGACCAACACGTTGGTGCTGTCACCTGCAATGCCCTTCAGAGGAGGTCAGAGGAGGGGTCACCCAGCAAAGCAGCAGACTCTGGCCTTCCCTTGGAGTGTGATGCTACAGAACAGGGCATCAGACCCGCTCAGAAAGCCTGAAAAAAATGTCTCTCCACCTACACAGTATATGCAAGCAGCACAGGACTATACAGTTTAGACCACAACTCAACGGTTCTATTCAGCATCCGGAGGGTGAGACCCAGGGAGACATCTTTTTAAGGTGTCACAAATGATCCCAATGTATAACCCAGCCTGAGGATCACCGCCCCCAAAGAATGTCAGCACCTCAGACCCCGGCCTCTGGAGGACTCAAGACTCAGCCAGGCACCCACACCCTCTCCAAGTTAGGTCGCACGACACTCAGCAACTGCTGCCGTTTGGATCTTGAATGTCCTCCAAAGCCCGTGTGTTGACAGCTTGATTCCCACTCTGGCAATACTGGGAGGTGATGGAGCTCAGTCAGAGGGAGTTAGGTCACTGGAGGCCATCCTCCTTAGCATCCCCATCCTTCTTTCTCTTTGCTTCCAGGCTGACACAGGTGGGCAAGCTGCACCTCAGGGTGATTCCTCCCAGAATGCACTGTTTCACCACAGGCTCAGAGCAATAGGGCCAAAGGATCATGCACTGGAATCCCTGAAACTGTGAGCCAAAGTCAACCTTTCTGCTTTTAAAGTTGTTTACCTCAGGTGTTTCATTACAGTGACAGAAAGCTAGCTGACTATTTCCCAAACAACATAATCCTCAGCAATTTAAAAAGTTTTAATTGTTACCCGTTGCCCATCAGTTCTCAACCTTGTCTACCCATCAGAATCTCCTGGGCAGTGTTAAAACACTGTTGATATTTGCACTCCCAAAGAATCTGGCGTAATTATATATTGCAGCTTGATTTTAAAAACAAAACAAAATACCCTGCTCTCTCTAATGGACAGCTCAGCTTAAAAACCTCTGCAGCCCAAATCTTGCTGCTGTTAGCTGATTTCTCCTTCTGTGCACAGGGGGGTGTTTTACAGTTGGCTTCATTTTCAAAGCCACCTCAGCCACGGCTCCTCCAAGATAAATAATCCCACATCCTTTCTCCTATCCTAAGCACTCTTTCTGCCCTCCTCCCCCCACCCCCCCACCCCCCGCTGTTTCCACTGCTTGTCTCTGGATGCTCTCCAGGGTTCTAACATCCCTGTCACCCTCTGGCCTCTAAAACCTCCTCTCAAGCTGCTTCATGCCACATTCTCATGGCCAGGTTAGAGGCAACTGCATTCACGGTTCCTGTCAGTCAAGAGGGTCAGCATGCCAAGGCGAGTATAGTGGCACATGCTTGTAATCCCAGCCATGAGGTGGCTGAAACAGGAGGGATTATGAGTTCCTGGCCAGCCTGGGCTGTTCACTTTGAGCCTGTCCCAATTAAACACACACACACACACACACACACACACACACACACACACGGCTAAGCTGTGGTGGTGCACGCCTTCAATCTCAGCACTTAGAAAGGCAAAGGCAAGTGGATCTCTGTCTGCAATTCAGGGCCAGCCTGGTGTACAGAGTGAGTTTCAGGACAGCCAGGGCTACACAGAGAAAGCCTGTCTCAAAAAAAAAAAAAAAAAAATTTTTTTAAAAAAAAGGAGAAAGAAAAAGTGATGAGCCCATCAAACAAGAGAACTCTACCTACATAACAGTAGACTAAGAAAGGCCAGGGATAGCCCAATAGCTTGACTGCTAGACTAGGGTAGACCCACTGGAATAGCATTGTACAGGAGAGCCAATGCAGGGGAATAAAAGAGTGAAAAGACAAGGCACAGGTTAGAATGAAATAAAATTAAAGGAGTAAGAGGCTAGGGGCTGGAGAGGTGGCTCAGTGGTTAAGAATGCTGACTGTTCCTTCAGAGGACCCGGGTTCAACTCCCAGCAACGACATGCAGGCGAAACACCAATGTATAGAAAATAGGAATAAATAAATTATTTTAAAACAATAAGAGGCTAACCTGGGAGGCAAAGATGACAGCAAGCCTCGTCCTGGATGCAACCCTGTGTGTATCCACTGGGATCCATCCCAGGCCTATCTCTCTCACCTGTAAAGGAGACAGTAAGACTGCGTTCCCTCTAGGTTAGACTTCAGCTGAATCCTCCCAAGCTCGGACAGAGAAGGGTTAGCTGGTGCGACCAATCCTTCCCACACTTTCTCCCAGCAGTACCGGCCATCCCGAGAGGCATTATTTTCCCAATTCCAAACATCAATAATTACCGTCTAAACACCGCCAAAGCTTCTTGAAGACACTAAAACGCCGTCACGTGATGAGATGAAAAGTCTAGGAGCATGCCTGTGGCTCGGCAGAGAGCTGGGTGCTGGAATAAATTAAAGAGATCTCCCTGGAGGCCAAATACAATGGCCGTCCCTCCCCACACTCAGGACTGTGGAACGCCATCAATTTTAGCAGTTTTTTTTTTTTTTTTAATAGTGCAGTGTTGCGCTCATTCACATGCCTTCTTTTATTTTAGGCTTCAATAAAAACGTAGGACTGGCAGCCACCTGCCTGCCTCTGCCTCCCAGAGCGCTGGGATTAAAGGGGTGTGGCACCATGCCCTTGGAGAAACTGGTTTGTTTTGGTTTGGTTTGGTTTGGTGCCTGGTTTTTAATTCTTAGCCTCCCACTCCTGTGCCTGATTTTTAATCCTTAGGTGTGTGCTCTTGTCCATAATGAGAGTGTCTGTTAGTTACCTGACTTCAGGGTCTACTAAATCTTGTTCTGTCACTGAACTCACCTTCTCAAGGCTAATGCTTGCCCGGTCTTCAATTTACTTCTTTCTGCTCTGGCTGTTTCTACCGGTTCTAGCACTAAGCCCAGCTCCATTCTGTAGACAACTCAGCGACGCCGTTGCTCCTCAGCGAAGGGATGACATGAAAAGAAAAAAGAAAGAGAGCAGCAGGCATCTCTATTTGTTTCGTTCTAGCTTTCTTCTACAACCGTCTATTTTCAGCCATGAACATGTCCTAATATTATCTTCTGTCTATGGTTCTGTCCCTTCATCTTGAGCTTAGTAAACAGAATTCTGTTTCATAGCTTGATACCTTTAAAAATAAACTTAAGTGTGTTGCTTTAAAATTTACTACACGATGCCATGGGATATATGTGTGACTATAGTGAGATGGTTACTACAGTGGAGATTAATGTCCCTATCAGCTCACATTTTTATATTTGTATGTCATAAGATGTCCTCCTTTAAAAAAAAAAAAAATTGTTCCTCTCTTCTGTAGAGGAAGCAGGTGCGACATTGGAAAACACAGAAAATAAATAAATACCTTGGATTTAGAGTTCTGGTGAGCCCAGCGCATCGCTCCTTCCTCTGGGTGGTCCGTTTGCATCTTCCAGAGCCTCGGCACCTCCCACACAGCGGCAGCAGCCTCCCACATGAGACACGTATTGCTCAGCAGACAAATACTTACCGTACAATGGTGGCTTGGTTAGTCACAGTGGAAACAGACACAACGAATGTGGGTGACCTACACATACCATTTCCCAGACACATTTTTCATGCGGGTATTAGGGATCTTTCGTGGATGGACTGGATGCTTTCCCATTGGTGACAGAAGCAGGGAAAGGCTGCTGTGTTGGACGCCTCAAGTCTTGGGAATAAGATCTAAGACATGACTTAGGAGATGGGTAGTAATTCACAGATTTAGCGAGGGTAAGGTATTAGACATAAACCCACACGAGAGAGAGAGAGAGAGAGAGA